TTTGCCTTTTTTGAGAGTTTGTCATTTTATGAGGCTAGTACTGGATGAATTTCTTGTCTTGACTTCTTTAGGTCTGGGAAACATTGACCAAATGAGCAGCAACTTGTCAGAAAGACGAGTTCCTGACTGTCTTATTTTTGATTTCTGAACCCCCCCCCCCAAAGTTTCATTTTCATCTCTCCTTTTCAGCCCAGGCCAACTCAGCCCATTGTCTCCAATTAGTCTTCTTTCATTTGTTTGGAAAAGCAATTGGAAAAGAACCAGTAAGGATGAATGAATGAAAAAGCTTTTATAAAGTGCTTTGTTATTGCTGTTCAATTGTATACGACTTTACGGGGCCCCATTTGGATTTTCTTGGTAGATATACTGGAGTGGTTTGCCTTTTCCTTTTTCAGCTCATTTGACAGATGAGGAAACTGAGGCAAACAGGGTAAAGTGACTTGCCTAACGTCACACAACTAGTAAGTGACCATGGGGTCACACAGATCCAAATGCTGGAGGGGAAATTCCAGTTCGGGTCTTTCTGGCTCTAAGTCCAAAGTTCTATCTATTATGATACACTTCCTCCAAATGGGGTCACGAAGAGTTGGACTGGATGATTGAAAAATGATTAAGATGATAAATATTTTACATAGTTATTTATGTTGTCATACTCCTACTGGGCTGTAAGCTCTATGAAGGTAAGATAATGTCTACCTTAAACTTTTTACTTCCTCAGTGTCTACCGCTTTTCTCTTCACGTAAAAGATGCTTAATAAATGTTTTTGAGTCTTGCTAAAAAAAAAATACAGGAACATAGGGTTATAGATTTAGAGCTGGAAGGAACCGCTGAGGGCAGTCATTTAGTTCAATTTCTCATTTTACAGATGTGAAGTAAAGTGACTCTCAAGGTCACAGGAACTAAGTAGTAGAGCCAGGATTCAAACCCATGTCTTCAGAAATTTTTTTAAAAATCGATATATTTTGTTTTTACATCATCTAGATCTCTCCCCTCTCATCTTTCCTCTTCCACCTCCCAGATCATTATTCCATATAACAAAAATTTAAAAAAAGATAAGAGGAAGAAAAAGGGGAAAAATTAGCAAAACTGATCCATACATTGGAAAAAAATAATCTGACAATATATACAATATTCTATGCTGGTGGAGCTTCCCCTAATCTCCACCTCTGCAAAGAAATGTGGGGATACCTTATTGTATCTGCTCTTTGGGGTTGTGCTTGCACTTTGTAATTTTAGAATATTCATCTCCACTTGTTTTGTGGTCATTCTTTTCATGTCCATTTCCATACTCATTGTGGATCTTTTTTCTTGGCTCTGCTTACTTACCTCTGAATCAGTTCCCGTAAGTCTTTCCTTGCTTCTCCGTGTTTATAAGATTTATCGTTTCCTACTGCACAGTACTATTCATGAGCCACAAGTTGCTTAGTCATTCCTTGATTGGTGGGCATCTACTTAAACCCGTGTCTTCTGAATCTACATCTTTCCATGGCCCCAAGCCTCATGAACTTGGGTCTGAGGAAGCTGGAGGAGTCTCCTTCCTAACAGAGACCTCAACAAAGGTAAAGGAGAAATCCCTTATCTTGTTTAGGTTGCACTGGATAGTTTCTTATGTCCCTTCCAGCTCAGATTTTGGGATTGTTTAGTGACTTTGTGTCTGTGTATAAATTTGAGGAGATAAGGTAAGGGAAAGAAAGCATTATTGAAAGAAAGTAGAGACAGGCATTCCTGATTCTTTGGCCAATGCTGTCCCCTGGTGGATATCTGGAGTACAACTATAGCATTGGACTTGGCAAAGATAGTGGAGTGGTTTGCCATTTTCTTCTCCAGTGTGTCCCCATTTTACAGATGAGGAACTGAGGCAAATAAGAGTTAAGTGACTTGCCCAGGGTCACACAGCTAGGAAGTGTCTGAGACCGGATTTGAATTCAGATCTTCCTGACTCCTGGCCTGGTGTTTTATACACTGTGCCACCTAGTTGCCCCACAATTAGAGTAGCCAAGCCAAAAGAAGTGTTTATTACTTCAGGGAATGGAGGGAGGAACAGTGGGAGTGTAGGTAGGGATGGGGAGGGGGCGGGGAAGAAAAACGAGTAGGAGCCTGAGAGGAGCCAAGAGCAGAAGAATGGAGGGAGGAAGAGGGAAGAACTCGAGCCCATATTGGCATTTACGTAGTTGTTGGCACTATCCCTTCTTATCTCCTACCTTCCTCTTGGAAGACTGAGCTAAAAGGAACAGGTTCCTGGGAAAGTTTAAAGGAGTAAGAAGGTCAGAGCTGACGTCAAGAGACGATCCAGGTAGGATGTAAACACAGCCTGACCTACATTTTTTTTCTCTGTGTCTGCCCATGCAAGACAGACCCTCAGTGCCTGGGGGCTATCATTTTATTCATTTAGCATTGTGGGCTAGGCCCAGCCTTTTATCCTCCTCTGCCTTTATAAGCCAAAGGGAAAACTCTGCTGAGTTTTTGTCCATTTGGGTGGGATAGAGCAGTGAAACAGATCAGGAAAGGGTGGGGTAGGTATGGAAATGACTGTGGATTAGGATGATGGCTTTTGTCTAATTCATTTCAAACAAGGATTAAGCCCCTACTGTGTACAAGACACTGTGCTAGATTGAAGAAGAAGTTTATAATCTACTGGGGATCGTAGACTGAAAGGTGAAAGGAGCCTTAGAGGTCCCCATTTTACAGATGAAGATACTAAGGTCCAGGGAAGTAAAGTGATTTGCCCAGTGCCATTTAGGGAGTAAATGACAGAGCAGGGATTTGAACCCAGATCCTCTGACCCTAAATTCAATGGCAAACTCTCCCCCTGCCACCATTATGGTATAACTTTTCCTTCTTTGAGATCCATTGCTAGTGAGTATCACCCTCTCTAGATCCTAGCAGCTTGGTGGTGCAATGGATAGAGCGCTGGGCCTGGGGTCACGAAGATGGCATCTTACTGAGTTCAAATCTGTCCTCAGACACTTACTAGCTATGTGACCCTGTGCAAGTCACTTAGCCCTATTTGCTGCCTCAGTTTCCTCATCTGTCAAATGAGTTGGAGAAGCAAATGGTAAACCACTCCAGTATCTTTGCCAGGAAAATCCCAAATGGGATCGCAAAGAGTTGGACATGACTGAAAAATGATTGAACTGAAATTCAGATCCTGGCCACAGTTTTTTTCTCAAGCATGGTACCTGGCTCATAGCTTTCCTCTCCATCATAACCTATGGAAGAGCTGGATCCTCTCCAGTTGTCCTGATCTGTCTCTGGCCAGAGGACCCAGATGGCTCTGGAGGAAAAAGTGAGGCTGGTGACTTTGCACAGCCCTCCCTCCCTCAAATCAAAGTCAACTGCAAGTTATGTCATCATCTCCCTGATGTCATGGTCCTTTTTGAGAACGAAGGACAAACCACACACACACAACCTGTGGAACATCAATATATATGCTGATGTCCTTTCAAACATCCTGGCTCCCTAGTTCATCAGCCTTCTAAACTCCATGATCTGAACCTTCATTCCGATCCAGCCACAGCCAGAGACTGACACATTCAACCACAGGAGCTCCACCTTCCCATCCAGAACTCTCAAATTCCACTCTCCAAGCACGGTCTCTAATCATTCTACTTGTCCCTTTGTCTCACCCCTTTCCTTACTGAAACCTTGGGTCGATCCACCCTACCCAAAGCAGCCTCGCTCTGGCCTCATTTTCCTGCATTTGAAATCTTGACTCTCTATTAACTTGCTTAACTTTATAAGATCAGAGATCGAGAGCTGGTTTATATTGTCTTCTACCCTGAATTCCCTGCCCTCTCTGCCTTTTACAGCTTATTCCGTTCCAAATCCTAACCACTCCACCCCACCTCCCTCTTACCTCACTTCCTATCATCTTTCTTTCTGCTCTTACTCCCATGTCGTTGAATGCACACAGCACAATCGTGCTGCCTAGAACCGTGACACATTGACGTTATGTTGTCTCAATCGGGCCCTCACAGCTGCAAAAACTCCTCCCCGACTGACCCTCTGTCATATCCCCCACACAACCAGTTCCAAACCTCCTCTTCTCTCCTTAAGCCACCTATATCCCTTTTTCTCCCTTCAGAAAACCTTTTTATTTTCCTTTACCCAGAAAATTGACGTCACCTCTTGTGAGCTGCCTTTTCTCCCTGGTTTGTGAATACCCTCAGCATTATCCCCTATTCTCTCTTCCTTTGCTGTCATCTTTGAGGGAGAGGTAGCCTGTCTTCTTGCCAAAGCCAGCTCTTCTTTCTTTGACCCCACAATAAAAATGAAAATAGCCAGCATTTATACAGCACATCAAGGTTTGCAAAGCTCTTTACTCATCTTTTTTTTGGTGAGGCAATTGGGGTTAAGTGACTTGCCCAGGGTCACACAGCTAGTAAGTGTCAAGTGTCTGAGGCCGGATTTGAATTCAGGTCCTCTTGACTCCAAGGCTGGAACTCTATCCACTGAGCCACCTAACTGCCCCTACCCATGTTTTCACATCTGATCCTCTCAGCAACTCTGTGAGGTAGGTGCCATTATGATTACTATTTTACAGATGAGGAAACAGAGGTTGAGAGAGGTTAAGTGACTTGCCCAGGGTCACACAGCTAGTAAGTGTCTGAGGCAGGATTTGAACTCAGGAAGCTGAGCCTCCCTGACTCCAGGCTGGATGATTTGTGCACTATGGCACCACTGAGCTGCCAGATACAGTGAAAAGAGCCTGTCTAGTGGGAAGGGCACTGGACTTGAGTCAGAAATTCTTTGCTTTAGTCCCTCATTTGCCATTAATCAGCTTGTGTGAACTTGGGCACCCAGTGGTGGAATCTTGAACTTTGAATTCAAGGACCTGGGTTGAAATCACAGCACCTGTGTGACCTTGGATAAGTCACTTCATCTCCCCGGGCTCCAACTTCCTCTGTAAAAGGAGAGAATTGAATGAGACAGCCAAGCCTCACCAGAGGTAGGGATGACAAACACTAAGAAAGCCAGAGGGGGCTTGACTGAGGGTTTAACTAACATTTTATTAACAAAAATAAATAGATTTCATAACAAATGAAAAGATGAACAGATTAAGGACAGAGCTAGGACACCCTCAAGGCAGGTTTAGGGAAAGACCAATGTCCGGTAAAGTCATGGTGATGGAGAAGGGAAGCACCAGGGAGGCCCCTCTTCTCTTGGGACCCCCCAAAGAGCACCCATTTCCCATGTTCTTGTCTGAACCTGGGCACAGGGCCTCCTCCCACACCACCCGAGCCCTTAGGCGGGGAGTAGGCTGACGAGTGGAGCCTCACATTCTCCCAGCAACACATCCCTCCGTAGGCCAGCTCCCTTGTCCAGCACCTTGGCCTTCAGACTGTGGGTGGCCAGGTCAGAGGGCTTAAGTCCCTCAAAGAAGAAGTCCTCATTGAAGATGGGGTTGGAACTACACTTCACCACCCTGCTCCGTCCCTGAGGCCAACTCCCTGGCCTTAGCCGAAATATGATACAGCAGCCACTGCTTCCCTTGGGTCCTACTCGGCCCCTAGGCAGCCCTTCAGCACTGATGAGCCGTAGCCGCAGCTGACCCAAGCCTGTCTGGTACTCAGCAGACAACCTCAGCTGTCCACCCCGGGGTTCCAGGCTCACCACACTCTCTTTAGTCACCTGTAGCTGACAGCACAGAAAATCCAGATGGAAGAGGGGTGGTGTTGGGGGACCTAAGTGGTGGCCAGCGTGGGGACTGGCATTGGCTGAGCCCTCCTCTATAGGGGATGGGAAGCCAGGTCTGGAGAGATGCAGCCTGGGTGAGCCTAGATGGGGTCGGGCAGGGCCTGGTTGGGGTGAGCTGAAGGGTGAAGAGTCAGGTGAGGAGGCCACATCACTCTCCAGGGCCAAGCAGAGACGCAGATCTGGAGTTGAGAGGTGCAGTCGGGACTTGATTGGGGGCTCCTCCAACGCAGAGGTCACTGGGGCCATGTGGAAAAGGGACTCTCGGCGCCGGGTATGGGGGCTCTCCAGAAGAAAGGACCAGCCTTCCCGTCCAGCCAGATGGGGCAGGGAGCAGGTTCCATGGAGTTCTTGCCCCCTAGTCCAGCCTGTTTCTCTCTCTGTCCCGGGTTCAGAGCCCCCCATGTCTGGGAGCCTGGGGGGGATAAAAAACTGGGGTATTCGGTCTGGGGTTAGGACATTGGGACAAGCAGAAGAGTAAGTCCCAGGGGGCTTTCTTCTGGGGAATAAGATATGGGGCCTCCATGGTGTTCCAGGCTTTACCCTCTCTCCCTTGTAGCCCGCTTTCTCCAAAAGCCACATGGAAGAAGGGGAGGCACAGAGTTAGGGGAGTGAGGGAGGAAGATGGGAGAGTCCAAGTGCACAGTCGCTGGCTGAAGGTGCTGGGCTAGGAGGGAGAAAAATAGAATCAGGAGGTGTGTACTGCTGTCCTAATACTGATAATTCAGGGTGGGGCTGAGGTGCCTACTTCCCCATTTTCTCCCACCTCCATCCCTCCCCTCTCTCATTTTCCATACTCAGTCTCTGGCTACCTTCTGAACAGAAAGTGATAAATGAAATGATAGTTAAGAGCAAGGGATACCACTAGCTAGCTCCCAGACATTTAGATTCATGGAAATGGATAATTACACATGTTCACAGGCGTACACACCAACAGCAGAGACAGAAGAGCGTAGACCAGCACAGGCACAGAGAGAGAGGTACCCACAGCCATGGACATCGGCATACGCACATAGGTAAGCTTGGACAGGCAGACACACTGTTATACTTGTATACAGGGACTAGTAGAATGGAAGCTCTCTGAGGGTAGGGACTGTCATTTTTTGGTCTTAGTATCTCCAGTGCCTAGCAGAGTATCTGGACTATTTGTTGTGTTTTTCAGTCATGTCCAACTCTTTTGTGACCCCATTTGGGTTTTCTTGGCAAAGATACTAGAGTGGTTTGTCGTTTCCTTCTCCAGCTTATTTTCCCTATGATAAAACTGGGGCAAACAGGGTCAAGTGACTTGTCCAGGGTCACACAGCTACTAAGTGTCTGAGGTCAGATTTGAACTCAGGAAGATGAGTCTTTCTGACTCCAGGTCCATCACTCTGCCACCTAGTGCCCCGTAGTAGATTTTTATTAAATACTTGTGAAAATGAATTGAATTGACAGGCACGGATGGACATATATGTGTGTACACACACACAGACATACAGACACACACACAGAAATACATTCACACAGCCAGCAACAGACATAGGCACACATATACAAAAGGACATAAGCACATATCAGATAGAATGTCCTTTCCATAGAGAAATAGCAACACATCAGGATAGTTGGGCTGTAGGCAGCCAGGTAGCACAGTGGATAGATGTCTGGCCTTGGAGTTAAGAAGACCCTAGTTCAATTCCTCCCCCCAGACACTTACTGGCTGTGTGACTCTAGGTAAGTCACATAACCTTTCTCCATCTTAGTTTCCTCATCTGTGAAATTGAACTCAGTGGCTTCTAAGTTCCAAATCCATGAACATTGGATGAAAGGGCCAAATGCATGCACGCAAGCATATTGCCCGAGCCATATGATTTTAGATTAATTAATAGCATAAGGATAAAGACAAACACCAGTCCAGGGCCAGACATACACACCTGGACCCCAGTAAACACCTACAGGCCTAGACATAATCAGGCATACCCATCCTTTCCCTGCAGCTCCTCCACACCCCCTCCTACTCAGAGATCTCATGGCTCCTACTTTGGCCTGGTCTGATCATCCCTCAGTCTTCCTCTGTCTCTGCTGGTAACCCCATCCCTGGTTGCCCCCTCTTCCCAGGGAGGAATCAATGTCAGCCCTAGCCCTCAGTCCCAATCTCTGCCACACCTGCAGCTCTCCAGATCCACAGATCTATTCGGCTGAATTTCCTCGTGGCCAGACTTGAACTTGTCTTCTGAACTCCTTTAATGACCTAAGGTGATTTGAAGGTGGTGGAAGAGGAGGGGCTCTTTCCCTTATTCCAGATCCTCTCGCAAAGTCCTGATGCACCTGGAGCCTATGGGGCGTGTTGGTCCAAGGGCAGCGTCTGTCCTTCTTCCCCATCCCCTCCCTTTCTCACTTCCTGTCCCACCAGCCAGTGGGAACCTGTTATTGAAAGCCAAGCACAAAGGAAGCATTCATTAATTTTTTCCCCCACCCCCCCAGATATTGTTACGCAGGGAGCTTCTGTTCCTCTTTCAGCTTTATTAAATAACCCCCTCACTCCCATTTCCAGGTCTCCATGATCTCTTTCCGGAGGCTGACCACCTTCTGTATTCCTGGGGCCTTTCCACCCTTATCCCCAGGGTACCCCACACACCTGGCTGTAGCCACTCTACTGGTTCTCCCCATTGGCTACTTTTGGTTACTGTCAGTTTGTCAGAGTGTCTCTGAGGGTGCCCCGGAGTTGCTAAGCTCACCTGTTGCTCGCTGTCTTGCTCATGGGCCCTGGAGAGTGGGGGAAAGGGGCGAAGGTACAAATTCTCTCCCCTGCTCATTCCTCTAGCTCTGTCTTTCTGGGAGGAGCCAGCAGGGGCTGCTGCTGCCAAGTCTGACCTGTTTTCCTGAATAAACACTGAAACTCTGTGTCTGGGACCATTGGCCCGGCCTCCTTAACCCCTTCCTCCAGGCAGGGTCTGGGGCTATCCCTCCTCTCTCAGAAAACTCTCAGGGAGAGGGAGGAGATGGGCTTACTTAACCTCCACCTCCATCTATTATGGAAGATTCACTGGTAACTCTTAACCTTGGGAAAGGGAACGGGTACCAGGAGCTCCCATCGCTCCATCTCTTACAGTCACTGTGCCTAGGTCCTTGTGAGTCTACTCCCACATTGATTACATAGATAACCTAGTCCTGTCCTCAGCCTTGGTAAAAATCTAGCCCCTAAGCCCATCCTAAAAGTCCACACTCTTTTTTTTTTCTTTTGCAAGGGCCCTCTAATCAAACATCTGTCCGGGCACACAGTACCTATCAAACAGTACCAGAGAGGACTTCTGGGTCATCCTGTCCAGTCTCTTGCAGTAGTGCGCTATGGTGAAGGGAGCACAGCCCCCTCTCTTTAAATAATCAAGGGAATTGGTGAAATTTCTCATTCCTCTCTGGGCTCCAATTCACAGGCCAGTGTCTCTCAAATTTGGGAAGGATGACAGAGCTGGGGGATATTGGGAAGTCAGGGCCCTCAGCTCCAAGGAGTGGGAAGAACTCAGAAGGGCCCAGGCACCCTTGATCTTGGCTGCTTCTGAATCTCTTTTTGCAGCCCCAGAATACTGGACGGCGGTATTCAGAGAAGGAAGAAAGTGAATACATGTATAAGGTGGAGAGGAAACAGTAGCTCAGGATGTGGGGGCCGGGCAGGATAGAGGAAAAGGAAGGAATTCAAAGGGAAGGAGAGGCTGAGTGTCTTTATAGCATCTGGAGGCCCTTCAAGAGGGTCTCTCGGTCCTGGAGCTTCTCTTGGGATCTGGGGAGCCTCCTAGGAGGTCTGTCCTGGATCGTTGTGTGAAGTCTTATCAAGGGTTCCACCCTACCAGGGACCTCATTTTCTCCTTTGCTTGTGTTCTGCTCTGAGCCTGGGTTAGTCAGCATCTCCAAGTTTTTCCTCGTGTCTGACCAAAAGGACCAACCAAAGAATCAGCAGAGAGAAGTGAACATCCGGAGAGAAGTAGCCTGGGTTGGTTGTCTCAGGTTGGTGAGCTTGAGTGTATCACTTAAATTTTATAGACAAACTCCAATCAGTGATAATATGTAGATACCAGTCAAAATTACACATGGGCTATCTATGTGACCTGGGGGCTGTGTGACTCTTAGCCTCTCTGGGTTTCAGTTTTCTCATCTGGAAAATGAGGGAACTGGACTAGGGTCTTTTTCAGTCTTGACATTCTGTGATGTGAAAGGATTTTTGACTGGTAATGCACTCTAATAGGAAGCGCTTTGGTGTCAAAGAGTTATACCGTGAGTAACACTTGAATTTCTATTTGGCAATGTAGTGAGTTACTCCAAGTGAACTAAAGGCCTCTGAGTGTCTGTGTTGAAGGTGATTGGTCAGTCACCATTGTGAGAGATGATCTCTGAGAATTTCTCAGGAATGAAGCCTCTTCAGGGAGTTAATTGCTTCTTGTTCTGTCAAAACACTTGCAGCTGGTTGACCTTGTAAAGAAACATGCTTTTCAACTTTATCAGACCTCCTCCTTCCTCTCTAAAACTATTTACTCTAAAAAGAAAAAGAAAAAGAAAAAGAAAACCTCCCATCTCCAGGCAAGTTGTAACAAGTGTCCTTGTTCTTTGTTGCTGGGGTAGATTGCCTGGAATAGGTTGTACCCTCAGAGCTTGCATTAATGAGCCCTGAGGAGGGGGGGCTGGGAAAGGGGATTGTGCTAGGACCTATATAACCTGTTGATCTGAACACACCTCTGCTCTCTTCAGTCAGCGCCAATTTTTTGGTTCTCTGAGGGAGCCCTTTCTCAAGAAAGCTAATAAATGAATTTTTCTTTTTGCTAATACCTCTGAGTCTCCGATTCATTGATAAGGGTCTCTGTACCCCACACACCATGGACCCCGGAGATCTTGATATCATCCCACGTGAACCTATGTGAATTACCATACAAATGATTTTCGTCATTTGATGGTTCAGTGCTTTTGATGGTTGAACAAGTATGTTTGTTTATTTGTTCAGTTTATTACTGGTGACCCTTGGATGTGACAGGTGCATTGAGACTCACGGCTTGCCCATTGTTAACCTTTGCCCAGCTTGATGTAATAGTGAGTTTGCGTTTTTTTTTTTTTGAGGGAGACAGCATTGGAATGGGGGGAGCACTGGACTGAGGAGCCAAGAAGCCCGAGTTTTGGTCCAGGTTCTGCAACTAGCTGTGTCTTTGGGCAAGTCACTTCACCTTTCTAGACCTCAGTTTCCTAATCTGCAAAACGTAAGGATTAGCAAAATTCCCACCTTGTACAAGAGCCCTTTTTGGTCTTCCTTCCTCCCTGCCTCTCACTTCCCTGTTAGGTTACCTTCTATTTTCATTGTATATAACTTGTATGTTTGCAAATTGTCTCCCTCATTCAAATGTGAGCTCCTTCAGGGCAGGGACTGTATTTGCCTTTGTAGTCTCCAGAGCCTGACACATTGCCTGACATATGGTAATAAATGCTCATTGATTGACTGACTGACTGGACCAGACCAGAGAGCCTCTAAAATCCCTGTGAATGTACACCAGCAACCCAGGACTGAAAATTGAATAGGGATCAAACAGCTTATACAATCTGTACTTGATTAGTTGAAAGTTGATTACATTACATAGGGGTTAGTTGGGCTATAGTAGCCATATAGGTGCCATCTGGTTAAGCCAAGGGGATCCTAGGGGACCTGGGATGCAAATTATTTGCTTATTGGAAAGGTCAGATCCCTGTCTTGGCCCAGTCACTCTTGACAGGGTCACAAAACCAGGAGGAATTAGAGGAAGAAGCAGGAGGAGGGGTGCGCGCGCGTGTGTGCATGTGTGTGTGTGTATATATATATATATGTTCTATGTGTGTGTACAGGTGCATGTGTGTGTGTGTGTGTGTGAAAAGAACTCCACCTTGAAGTAACTAGGCTTCAGTGTGGAACTCCCATCTAGCTGCTCTGAAAGGAATGGAGAGCTAAGCAGGCCAGAGGTTCAGATCAATAGTTCTGATTCCCAGATAGAGAGAGGCCTGTGGGGTAATGATTCTATAATTTGAGTGGTAGATGGAGCTGTGGGAATTTATTCTTTCTCTCTCTCTGTCTCTCTCTCACACATTTCTCTCTCTCTCTCTCTCTCTCTCTCTCTCTCTCTCTCTCTCTCTCT